GCAAAAATTAGGTCTGTGCATAATCCACGCTTCAAGCCCAGAGGGCTCTTGCGTGAGGGGGTGTGTTAGAGAATATATATAAATCCTATAAAAAGGCCCAATTTTTTATTGTGGTTTTCCGAGCCCACTTAGTGTTGCTGCTCACTTCGCCCATAGATGACGGTCTGTATCAGAGCTAATGGTGGATTGGCCTGTGGTGATCTGAGTATGTCTTGATGTGGGAAGCCAGAGTCTTGATGGATAGCCAAGCCTTGATGAGGAACCCCATGAATACTCGAAGAAAGAATGCGGGCCTTGGATTCACACTTGAGGAAGAGATGTTGAGGAATCCAAGTGTGAATGATTGAGTGAAAAAAGTCCCACATTGGTTAAAAATGGACTAAGTGAGCACCAGAAGGACCCATGCACCTAATGCCTTAAGGTTTTGGGTTGAGACATGATGTCGAATCCACTTGCAACAGCTAATGTAGCCTTAGCTCATTGGTGGTGGCCCCCCGCCACGGACCTTCATGTAAGGAACCACTTCAACCAAAAACCTTAAGGTTTTGGGTGAGGGTCTTTTTTAAGGATTTATATATATTCTCTGACAATAGACACTAACTTGCAAAAGTAATTATTTTTTCTATTAAAAAATTGATCTATTTTGCTTATGGAGTTGCCAATTTATAAGCAACCAAATGTGTTCGGTCTCTCAATTACTTATAACCTGTATGTTTGAATAATAGATATGTTATACTACATTCTTGAAATTAATATCGTTGTGCTTATATTTGTGCCACTGTGCTTATATTAGTTTAGATTTACTAAGTTGTTACTTTCTCTTGTCTTAATGGTTGGTGTTGTGGTCATGTACCCAAAAGTCACATTTTTAATTATTATATCTAACCTTTTGCAAATGCAAGATAAGGCTATTTATCGTATATCATTTAATGGATCTTATGCATGGCGATAGCTTTAAAAAAAAAATCTGGGGGCACCTCGCCACTAAATGTGCAGACATAAATACAATTTTCTGGGTCCGCCACTAACCAGGGTAATCAGGTGTGTATCCGGGAAAATAATTTTCTACTTGGGTAACCGAGTGGTCTACCAGAGTAATTGAGTGGTCAACGGTCAAACATGAGTAGATTGGTGTTATGTTTGTTGAGAAGGTTAAATTTTTGAAATAATTTATAAACGAGGGCAAGATGATAATTTTATATTAGTGAAAGGTTACAATGGTCAAAAAGTCATGTATTTATCTGTGAAATTTGAACCCCAATTCAACTTTATTTACAATTCAAATTTTCTACTTCATTGACCCTTATCTCATATTTCATTTGCATACATGGAATATGAGATATCGTTGTATTTTGCTTATCTATTTCTTTTCTTGGGGAATTCTGCCCATTATCAATAATTAAATAATAATTAATATCACGATATTGTCTGTAATTAAAATAAAATTTAACATATAAGGGATTGGAATACCCACTTGGAATAAAGGAATATAGCAATTTGTTATGGAAACTTCACATAGGTGATTGAGATATAGAAAATATATGCAAATTTAACATATATGCAAATTGAAATTGGACGAGTCCAAGATAGTCAATGTTGCAATGGTGCAAATTTCCTACATAAGATCCTTTTTACAATGTATAGCCCTTTTGTTTTGATTAGAGGTGGCAAAGTGGGCTGCTCGCTCCGCCCCGCCAAAAAGCGGGTTGGCTCGCCCCGCCCCACCTTCGAAGATGGGCTAGATATCTCAGCCCGCCCTGCCCCGTCCCGTTTGGGCGGGCTGCCCGCCAAGCCCGTGACATTTTACACTAAAAATTAAAAAAAAAAAAAAAAAAAACCTGGGCGCTGGCGGGCTTGGCGGGAAGCGGGTTTGAGAAACTCAGCCCGCCTTCCCCGTTTGGCGGGCGGGGCGGGGCGACCCGACGGGCTCGGCCCATTTTTCCAGCTCTAGTTTTGATAGAATGGGGTCCATGATTGCTATCTCAAAAATGACCTAAAAACTAAAACTGTTAACAGAGAAAAGGTTTTGAAATACTACTTTTTGTTTTTAATTATCCAAATATATATACAAATAATTCAAACTCAATCGGATCCTGTTCTATTATAGTAACATTGAAAATAAATAGTCCATTTCATCGGAAAATAATTCAAACTCAATGAGATTCATTTGTTTGGACTTTGGAATGTAAATGCTAGTAATAATTTTCATAGGCTATAGACCTAGAGTTAGGGGTGTAAATGGGCTGGGTTAGGCTAGGCTTTGCCTTAGATAGGTCAGGCTTGTGTAAAAAGCATTGGATATGGCCTGGCCTATTAGCCTGTGTAGGCCCCAAATTATAAGTCTGCCCTGACCTATAATTAAAAAATAAAAGCCTTGGCCTAGGCTGTTAGCCTGTTTAAGCCTATTAAACATTCAATAATTAAAAGAATAACTAAAATAATATTACTTTATTATTCAAAATTATTAAAATAAAATTTTATTTATTTATTTTAAATAAATAATATGATATAGGCCGGCATGTAAGCTTATAGGTCAGACATGTACAAAAAAGCCTATGACCTATTTTCTAAATAGGTATTTTTAAAAGCCTAGGCCTATTCTATTTTACTATTTATAATAGGCCAAGTTTGGCCTAATATAGACTAGGCCGTAGGCCCCTGTAGGCCGGCCTAGTCCATTTACACCCCTACCTAGAGTGATATTTCCTGTCACGGACATGGCTTACCCTTTGCGGCAGAATAAATATTTGGTGTTACTGTTACACTAAGATTCAGTGCATTCTACCAATAAGAGCATTACACATCACAGAAGAGAGAAAAATTTTGGCAGAGAAAAGAAAACTTTAACTGACATATAATATTTCTATTGATGAGATGTACTGAATCTTTGGTACAACAGTAACACCAAAAATTTATTCTTTGCGGCAATTAATTTTCATAGGCAGTTGCTTGGTGATCAAAACTCAACAAAACTGATACGTCGCCATTTATTTGTTGCACATGCATATGACCTTATTATAGCCTAATAATTAAACCCCGCAATGGTGCTATTGGCTGATCATGCTTCATTGGTTATTTTTTTTTCCTCCTGAAATGGATTCATACAAATAATCGTTTTGTGAGAGGAGGAAGTGCGTGTAAATAGAAATATAAAGATTCACAGAACCACAGTTTTCGTAGGTATGACATCCAACTGTGAATTTTTTTTATAATATAACAATTCACTTTATTTAAACTTTGATTTACCTTATCACAAGTTGTTTTATCCTTTTGTTTTTTTATTCTGTCTGTTGCATAGGTTACCTTAAAGGTTAATATATTACTTTGAATTTAATAAATAAATATCTAATATATGTAACTTCAAATTAGCTCATACGATTTTAGAAAATTTTAAAGTCAAGATATTTTTTAAAAATAACAATTTTTTTAAAATGTATATAAGTTAATATAAATATATTTATCATTAATCTTAGTGTGTAATAGAGACTAATACAAAATTTAATAATTATATATTTGATTTTTTTATTTCTTTGTAGCAATATTTGTATGTACTTCTTATTTAATTTTATGTGCATAATATTTTTTCTTAAATGGGAAGCTGGTACATAATTAATACTTATATAAGTTACGTAGACAAAAAAAAAAGACAAGAAAAAATGTTTTCTTACTTTATTTTTTCATATAATTATAATATTCTTTATGACAAGAAAACCTATACAATTTTATTTTATTAATTTTTTATTTTATTAATGATTTTAACAAAATCGTAATTATATTTTGATAGATGTTCTTTGTGTTTCACACAATTATCTTTTAAAATTATAGATAAAGTCATGCAATGTGTAAATAATTTCAAATTCATTAGCTAAAACAAATGCATCTGTATTTTGTTTATATAGAAAGTTTGTATCTGATAGTTAATATTTGATATATAATCTGAAAAATTAATTTTCAAAGTAATTTTTTAAGTGATATTTAAGAGCTCCACACACTTTTATATATATAGAAAATAATAATATCTTTTATAATATGAGAAACTTTTTTTTTTTGGGTAAAATATGAGAAACTTTAAATCCTTAATAATATCTCAAAGCAATTTTATTCTTGTATGATGTATATAGATAAAAATATGTTCTCCACATCTTAAACTTCCACGCATCGAAATCCTTTCTGACAAAAAATAAAAATTCAAAAGTCGATAAGTTTTATTATAACTTGCTTCAGGAGTTAAGGTGCAAAATACAACAACAACAATAATAATAAACAAATAAATAAATAAACACCTTCCGGGCCCCTTCTGTTTCCTTCTAGTCAAAATAGGGTAACGAAGCAGGCATGACATTATAGCTAGTGTGTTCTTACTTCTCTTGTTCTTTTCTCACAAAAATAGGCTTTGATTTTTCTTTCTTCAAAGTCTCTCCACCAAGACAAGTGGTAGAAAATGGACACCTTTAATAGCCAAACTAAATATTACCTTAAATTAACCCCAAACAGCACTAGAACTTTGTGAGGTTAAGCCTAATTTTAAGCAATGTGGCATTACCTTTAACGTACAATATAGTTGGTTAACAATATTGAATGTAATTCATAGTAGTTTCCTTGGCAAAGCCAATTTGCTTGTCCTTCAATTAATGTTGCAGGCAGAGCAAGTAATGGAGTTGAGTGAGGCAAAAAACAGCAAATGCAACAGAAATTTGAGTACATGCATTATTGAAGTGAAGGAACTTGCAAAAGCTAACATTGCTGACTTAGTTATTTGAGTTGGCCAACTCCTGATTAGAGACTTCAACCACCAAATTTTCTGACTTTACTACTTAAGCAAACATGAGAGAACCCATTTAGTTTCACTCCTCAATTATCTACGCGGTTTGGAAAATAACCACCTAACATGCATACTTGAAGAATTGAGACAATAGTGCAGAACCTGAATGGTATATACTGCTATAAAACTCTTAACTCATTTTCCATATTTTCAGTAATAGAAGTTGGAAACATTGAAGATGTCAATGCCAAGGCTGGTTTTTGCTACATGTATTTTCTTACTGGCAGCAATTGCTTTAGCAGCTGAGCCTGTGACCTATGTCTTTGGTGATTCATTGACAGATGTTGGGAACAATAATTTCTTGCAATATTCTTTGGCGAAGTGTAATTATCCATGGTATGGGATTGACTATAGTGGTGGCCAGGCTACTGGAAGATTCAGCAATGGAAGGACTATTGGTGATTTCATATGTATTTCATTCTTCTCAAAGCTTTCTCTGGATTCCTCTTTCTTCTATTAATTGAATAATAAACTATTAGGATGTCATGCTTTGAAATTTGAAGTCTTAATTTTATTGCATTTTGCAGCTGCAAAGCTTGGAATCCCATCGCCACCAGCTTATCTTTCAGTGCCTCAAAACGTTGATGCCCTCCTCAAAGGGGTAAACTATGCATCTGGTGGGGCTGGAATTCTCAATGATACAGGACTTTACTTCGTAAGCAGAACATCTTCAAACGCTCAGGACTCTATTTACAATTTAGAACATCTTCAAACTCCAACTAATATTGTGTCTTGAGTGTTTTTTAGATTCAGAGATTATCTTTTGATGATCAAATAAACTATTTCAAGAAAACCAAAGAAGCAATCACGGTAAAAGTAGGTGAGGCGGTTGCCAACAAGCATTGTAATGAAGCCATGTACTTAATTGGGATTGGTAATACTTCACATTTACAAAAGTGTTCTACTTTATACTATATCAATGTTTTGAATGTTGCAAACTTAAATTCTTCATGTACAATAACCTTTATTACATGTCTATCTCATTTTTGCAGGCAGTAATGACTACGTCAACAATTTCTTGCAGCCCTTCTTGGCAGATGGCCAGCAATACACTCATGATGAGTTCATAGAGCTCTTAATCTCAACCTTGGATCAACAACTTACGGTAAAAACTAGTGTTAGTTATTAGTTAAATTAACATTTGCAAAAACGTAACAAATTACCATCAATTAATGAGACAATTTCTACACATCAATATCATCCAAGAGTTTTTACCTTGCATGAGAAAGAGATTGTTCTCACTAAAACTTAAGTGTTATAACAGACACTCTATCAGCTGGGAGCACGAAAAATGGTCTTCAATGGACTTGGTCCACTAGGTTGTATTCCTTCACAGAGGGTTAAATCCAAACGAGGCCAATGTCTAAAGCAAGTCAATGAATGGATCCAGCAATTCAACTCCAACGTACAGAAACTAATCAACAGACTAAACCATCGTCTTCCAAATGCAAAACTAATATTTGCAGACACCTACCCGTTAGTTCTTGACTTGATCAATAACCCATCTGCTTATGGTAATTTAGCATCTCCACTTAAAATCTTAAAACATAAGCATATGCAGTTTAGCAACTATACTTTCAATATTCAAATAAATTTTGTCCCTCCACTTTGGTAAATTGCAATAATTACCAATCCTGCTTCGGTTATGTGTTAACATAGGTCGAAATTTAACGATTCCGCAGGTTTTAAGATTTCAAATACGTCATGTTGCAATGTAGACACAAGTGTTGGAGGGTTATGCTTGCCGAACTCAAAGTTGTGCAGCAATCGCCATGAATATGTATTTTGGGACGCCTTCCATCCTTCAGATGCAGCAAATGCTGTTCTTGCAGACAAATCTTTCTCTAGTATTTTCTCATCAGCTCCTTCAGCAGCACCAGGGCCTTCTCCACAACTTTTCCAAACATTCATACCAAAAAATTAATAGGAGTTCATTTTGCAAGTTTAACAACATATGCAATCCAATCCAATGAAATGATACTGCCAAGTCTTGAGTGTAAGAATAATGTATACTTATGAGATAATGGCATATACTAATTTAAATGTAATACCTTTTATGATTCTCTTATTATAAATTGTAACGGGAACTACCTAGTCTTACATGTAGCAAAAATCAATAATGTTACTTATGAAATAATATCAAATACAGATTCTAATTCTCTTGTTATGCTCATTTCTGTTTGCTTTTCAATATAGCAAATATTGTTCATATTAAAAAAATGAATTGTTGACTTGAATATTAACATCCAGAAACCAATAACTCAATTGGCCTTTTAACAGATCCACAACAGTTACAATGAAACAATTCGGGGATTAAGCATTACATTAGAATTGGAACTTAATTATTTTTAAATGAGCCGGGGTTGTTTGCTCTCAGTTGATGGGCACTAATTTTTCCACATGAGAAAACTTGAGATGGGTAAAGGCCCCTTTCATTTAAGCTGATCTGCTTCGAGTGCTTGACAAAGCCCTCTCCCAACCTCTAAAAGAAGAGGACAAAACTAGACCTCTTATTTTAGAAGAAGAAGTCATCAAGCAAAACCAAGCACAAAAAGCTTATCTTAAACTCAAAGGAAAGGAGCCTTCATGCCCCATCCAGCCTCCCTTCGGTGTGGTTAAAGCAAAACAATCATCATCGAGCATCCCCAATAGCATTCACATACATAACCACAGAGAGAACCACAAAACAAAATGCTTGCAACTCAATTCAACCTAAAAAATGGAAAAAGAAAAAGCTCCGAAATTTGTAACGAATTCCCTAATTTCAAGGAGTAACAATCAGAACAAGACTAAATAACCCAAAAAAATACACACCCTAAAAAAATTTAAAAAAAAAAGAAGAAGTAAAAAACAAAAACAAAATACTTGCAACTCAATTTGGAAAAAGCTCCGAGCTTTGCAGTGGATTCCTTGATTTTAAGGAAAAATAATCAAATCCCAGAAAAGAAAAACAGAACAGTGTTTGTGAACGAATAAATTGTGGATCCTACGAGAAATAGCAAGAATCCATTGGTAATGGGAATATGCCAGTCCATAGGAACCGGTCAATTTTGCATCTTTTCGTATTCTCTATGCCATATGGTTAGAGAAATAGAGAATCATAGTGGATGCACGTTTGTTTAAATACAAAGAATCATGAATTGAAAATCAAAAAGAACAACAAAAAAAAGGGCTTAGAGAAGAAAAATCGAGGGAAATGATAAACGATTAGATCTGAGAATACAGAGGAACTAGTGAAAGAGATGGGATCGCAGTTTATTTATATATCCTTGCTTGGGCTAGGGTTTTGTGTATCACTAAAATTACCAATTTACCACCGTAAAGCCCAGATGTCAATTTCTACCGGCCCAATGTACTGAAATTTGGCCTAAGATGGATGGAGTTAATTTTATTGTGGTAAACGAATTTGCCCACACGGCTCATATTTTTAAAATATATATTTATATATCGGGATAAGATATTGTGTATTTTTTATATCTATTTTATTTATTCATCTCCAATAATACCATTATATTATAATCTCATTTAAATTTCACCTTTTTTCTCTTTTCTTAAAATTTTGGTCTAATAATATTGAAAAAAAGTGAATAGAATAGATATAAAAGAAAGTAAATATAATATTTTATCCCTTATATATTATTTCACAGCCATCCTAATTTTGACATGCTACTTGACAGTATAGGCAAGTGTAAGGCACAAATACGACAGGACAGAGAGATCAGAAGTGTAGAAAACATACAATGCAATTCAAATCATGATGTGAATTGAATTGATTATTTTATTTTATTTTTTGGTATCCAATTGATAATTTGTTGTTGACTCGTTATGTTTTCCTATTTTCAGCTCAGTAAAAATGTTTATAGAATATTCAGACACATTCTAAATGGTCACTAACAACATGGTGTAGCATAGTTAAGAAAAATTAAATTTAGTTTAATAAAAGTAGTTAAAATAATACATATCATTTTTTAAGAAAGAATAGCATGAGAATTAAGTTGTTTTTTAATAAATATATTCTAATTTAACATATGTAAGTGCATTAACTTGGTTATACGTAATCATGTATTTGAATAAGCTTTTAAACAGCATTTTTATGATATATATATATATATATATATAGGGTTTGTTTTTTCTGATGTTACTTTAGATAACTTTCTCTAATGTTCATCAAAACGACGTCGTTTTGGGACGGAAATCATGGTATTTTTGTAATTTTAATTTATTTCAGAGTTATGATAGTCTTTATCACTCTAATTTTTTAATTTTTCAACCCCAAAACGACGTCGTTTCGATGAACATTAGATAAAGTTATCTAAAGTAACATCGGAAACTTTTTTCCCATATATATATATATATATATATTCTCAAAAGCTTTTTTTTCTCCTAACTTGACTTCCGAGAAAAAAAAAACTATGATATTGTGTATGCTATGTTGACATTCTTTGATAATTTTACGTAATTTATATGAAATTTTGTATATAAGATGTTTTTATGAAAAAATTAATTTTTTATGCGAGAAACGTTTGTTTAGAAAAAAGTTTTAAAAAACAAAGTAAATGTATCACAAAATTTAAAAACAAGAGGTCAAAGTTATATTTTGACTGTGTTTCTATAGGTCCATCGAAATTAAATACAAAAAAGTATGACCAACCTAATTGATTTGTGCAATATAAAGACACATAACAGAAAAAGCAAAATTTCTAAGTTGGAACAATGAATCAATAACCTAAAAATAAGTCTATTCTTTACATGGTATCAGAGTCTCGCCGCTCCCCACTTTCTCTTGTGGCGTTTCTTAGCACAGGTAGGTTGGGCATGCTGCATTGTCCACTCTTCAAGCCCAATGGGCTCTCGTGTGAGGGAGTGTGTTGAGATATATAGTCTCACATTGGTTGTATGTGCAACTAATGTGGAGTTTAAAGGTCTTGGGCACTCCCACCCCTTTGAGCTAGATTTTGGGGTGGTGTATCCCAAACATAGGAACATAACCTTGATTAGGGGTGTAAATGGACTGAGCTAGGCTAGGCTTTAACTTAAATAAGTCAAGTCTGTGTAAAAAACATTGGGTATGGCCTGACCTATTAGCCTGTGTAGGCTTCAAATTACAAATTTAGCCTGATCTATATTCAAAAAATAAAAGCCTTGGCCTAGGCTTGTTAGTCTGCTTAAGCCTATTAAACATTCAACAATTAAATGAATAACTAAAATAATATTATTTTATTATTCAAAAATTAAATAATAATTTTATTTATTATATTTTAAATAAATAATATGATATAGGTCAGCCTGTAGGCTTATAAACCTGACATGTACCAAAAAATCTATGGCCTGTTTTTTAAATAAATTTTTTTAAAAGCCTATTCTATTTTACTATTTATAATAGGCCAAGTCTGGCCTAATATAAACTAGGCCGTAGGCCCCTGTAAGGTGGCCTAGCCCATTTACACCCAACACGAGATATTTCAGACCAATTTATTATCTTTTTAAGCTGTATCAAGCAAAATTATATACCAAATGTTTGTAAATAACGACATGGATATATATATATATATATATATATAACACAAGATTATAAATAAACAAATCGAAAATTATGGAATAGTCAATGGTTGATAAAGATTGAATCAATTCTAGCTGAAAAGAATAACATAAATGATTCATTTGTAGCCTAATTCAGTCCAAACCTTTAAATTTATCTTTTTAAGCTATATCAAACAAAATTATACACAAAATTGTAAATAACGAAATGGATTTGTACAATATATATATGGGAAAAAGCATGAGAAATCATCTCTCCTATCACTCTCACTTCGATGTCTGTGCCAATCACTTTTCTATTTTTTTATTTTTTTTCTTTAAGGTGGGTCCCACCCCATTCTCTCTCAGGGAAAACTTGAATTTCTCAGACAACATGAGGAATTGCAAGCCCTGTATATATAACACAAGATTATAAATAAACAAATCAAAAATTATGGAATAGTCAATGGTTGATAAAGATTGAATCAATTCTAGCTGAAAAGAATAATAATGATGATTCGTTTGCAGCCTCATTCAGTCCAAACCTTTAGATGGTTTTTGTACAAAATTGAATGGACCAATGTGAACAACATAATGCAACCAAAACGAATACGTAGCATTATCATCTCCCACAAAAATTTTGAATGAGCAACACATGTTCCAACATATACCACTTTATAGCAAAACCACTCCCCATATTAGAAATCCTGTCATCATTAGAAGGTTTCTAACTCTCAATTCACAGCTGCGGAGGCTGTAGGCTGAAGAATCTGAATTAGTAGAATTCATTGATGGAGCTGTGAAGTTACCAAAGGTGCCATTTTTGCCAAGACTGCACATTTTCACAAACCAATCACTTGTAAGCATTAATGACACAACCAAATGAGGGATAACAAAAATAAATCAAAGAAGCAATTATCTTACCTTCCAGGAAAAACACAAGAACCATGGCCTGCAATCATTCAAAAACTCGTTAATTATCCTAGAAGTCATCAATAGTACTAAAAAAATGCTAAAGCTAATCTAACCCACTATTGGGGAATAGTAATTTTACTTGGATCGGAGGTGGAGATTGTAGCCACTCCATTGAAATCACATGAATCAGGAGTCCTTCCCATCTTCTGATAGTAACTGTCAAAAGCATAATTTGCATGTGCAATCACATTGTCTGGTTCATAGCATGGTTGCCCTTGCAACATTGTAGAGCATTCCACCTTGCCAGGTCCACATGCCCAATCTAGTGCAGCCTGCAGCATCTTTGGGTCAGCACCATCCTTTGCAATGCAGAAAGTTTGATTGCTGGTATCATTAGCTAAGACTGCTCCTGATCCTGTTAAGTGTAAAATGTAAATAGGTGCCCCATTTGCATCAAACAGTCCCCAGTTCTTCTCTGACAATGGCCCCGTCTTCATATCCTCGTTGTAGAGCTCATAGATGTATGTACTAACAGCAATTCCAGGATGATTGGGAGTTCCAGTTTTATTCAGCACATGCTTGATCAAATTGCTGTTGTAAGTATTAGCATTGTCTACAGTTGCATCAGGCTCGTTAGAATCACCTTTTGAGGGCCATCCTGACTCTGTTACTACTACAGGAATGTTAGTGTAATTTAGAAAAGCCATGGCGAAGTACGCTGCATCAACCATAGCATCAAATACATTGGAGTAATGGAGAAGGGTATTGGAATCAACAGCTTCTTTGTTTGGAGGGAGAGGCTTGAAAAGTGCATAATCTAATGGAATTACACCATTTGATTGCATGTAATCATAGTAAGGGTATATATTGAGCATGAGATAAGAGCCAGTAGATTGCAGGAAATCAAGTATTGGGACCAAAACTGGATTCAGCGAGCGGTTGAAGAAAGCCTGGGAAGGTGGAAATGAATCAAGGATGATGGAAGAGGAAAGGGGTGTTGAAACTTTAACTTGGCGATCAAGATTAGATGCCACAAGGGCTGAATGAATGTACTTAAGAGCGTTGACAAGTACTTTTGCTGCATTAGGGAGGGTAGTTAAAACCTCAGAACCAACACAAATGGCTGTGATATTGGTGGCTGGATAATGTGCTACCACATTGCGGAAAACCCAGTTGGCAGCTGTGGAATTTGATTGACCAATTGCTAGGAGCTCTTCATTAGGGACAGTTATAACAACTTGAATGCCTGTCTTTGCAAGTGCAATGAGCATAGCTTGGTCAGCATCATACAATCTAACATGTCGAATTTGCTGGGCTTTAAGTAAAGCTACTACTTGAGTAGGGTGTGGCATATCTGAGAGATCTGTTCCAATATTTACTCCAATAAAAAATTCTGCAAGGTACAAACATTAAGATCCATTAAACATAAGATTTAAGTCCTCACTGTATTCACCAGTCAAATAACACAAGGTTGGAAACGTATTCAGGCAGACTCTTATGCACATTTTGTTTCTTCAAAACAATCCAAATTTTGGGGGGAAATGTAATTAAATGCTTGTGCCTTAGTTTATGAAAAAAAATTGCTGCTTCTTTTGAAGAGTGGCTGCAAAATTTTGAAACAATAGAATAGTTCCCACAATAAAGAAAGCTTCAACTTCTCCAATCTCCACTGCAAAGTGATACACACATCCAAAAGTTGGGGGAAATGACAATATATGACTGAATAGAAGAACAAAAGTTTACATATATTAATAACTCATTAACTAAGCCATAATAAGCCCATCAAAACATTGGTTCTGAACACTTAAAACTAATTAAATCTAAAATATTACTCTAACCCACAGCAAGGGTGTGCTGCTGCTACGAATGGTGTGAAAATGGCAAGCAGGGAAAGGTGTACTTAGGCCTTTATACAATGAATCATAGTTAAATTTCACTCCCACCAAGTACACCCTAAAAATCTGCAGAAAACAGCAAGGAATCATCCAAAATACTCTGCTGGAGGGTGAGCACTGAATGAGGAAGTAATGACTTAGAACAATGCAGTTCAAATAAATGTAAGTTTTGCAGTGAACTATGAACAATGCCAACCCATGTCGAGAAAATAAACTAAAGGGCAACGAAAGATTCAGAATGCAATTATAACTTGAAAAAGTGGGAAATCTCTTGACAAAGAACATAACAACAGCAGCAAAGAAGACTAAGGAGGGAAGTTAAACTGTCCACTCACCTTCATCAAGTGCAACAGCAGAAACTGCAAAAAGCATCAGAAGAAAATGCACTGCCATAGATTCAATCTCTCTGAGAAATCTCTAGAAAGCCCAATAATGAATGAGAGAGATAGAAGGAGTGTGAAACTGGATTGCTAGAAAATGAAATGAAACCAATGGGAAAAGTAGAGAGAGGAAAGTGGGGTAAAGCTGTATGAGAATATATAAGAGACACAGAGAGAGAGAGGGTACAAGATCAAGACAACAATCCCACGTGGAAAGGTTGTCAGATAAATCAAACGGCTAAGGAATCATCAATGATATGGAGTTTCACTGTAACCAAGCATAGTCCTAATCCTAAGAGAGGTAGCCGAAGCCCGAAGAAACAAAACCGAGGAATAAGGCAAACAACTTTTTTCTCCTTTAATTTAATTCATTACTCTTCTTTTCATTTCATAGTATGAAAAATATATATTTGTAAAAGATAACTTCGTAATTTGAATTATTTAAGACAGTTTTAAGGGAAACTGTTCTATTAATTACTTTGGACAATAGCAAATAATGAATGAAATATCAAATATGAATGAGTGTAAGTTGGTATAAACATTACTTTTTAATGATAATTATTAATTTTAATTTAATTGATTACTGTGTTGTAGTGTAGGTGCATGTGGAGGAAGAAGATATATGCACCTGTTATCCTAGCCGTTACAGTACGGTGAGTTTTTTTTTTTTTTCAGTTGGATTGTTTTGTTGTGTAGTAACAAAATGTCTGTCTCTGTGTTTGGATTCTCTTACCTAGAATTTGTGTATATATATATTTTTTGTGTGAGTTTTTAAACAATGAAACAAAGAAGGAAAGGGGTGCATCTTTAAAGACCCATCAACGGTCCAATCTACCAGCCCTTACGTGATTTCGTACCAACCACATGGTCCACCTCTTAATTGCGATTTGTCATTCTATTCATTCGATCAGCTACGCGATTTTAACTTTTGACTAGCTTTTTTTATCCATGGGATTTTTGTTTATAGGTTACATTATATCGATATAAGATAAAGATATTTTCATTAATCCCAAAATTATCTTATTTTAAAAATTTGAAAAATTAAAGAAATTTTATTTATTTATTTTTATATAAATTTTATCAAAAACATCTATAATTATTTTTTTTAACCCTTAAAATAATATAATTTTGAAATTGAAGAAGATAATTTTATCTCATGTTAATGGAGAAATAATAAATTATTTATTTATATGATATTAAAACATATTTTTTCTAATTAAAGATTTTTTTTAATTTCATTTTTTATGTATAATTGCTTTTATGAAAAGCTTCACTTTCATGCTTATAATTACAACATGTATTTTCTTAATCAAATGCATCACTTAATCGCTATATCTCAAAAGTTCATTTATTATATAAAATGTTAAAAATATTCTTAACAAAACAATCACTAAATTGTAAATAAAATATTAAAAATAACATGCCATAAATATCATATGAAGTGTCACTCTATTTTAATTTTTCTCAACAATAACATGTCATTCTTTATTCTATTTTTCAAAAAATTCAAATACAAATTCCCTTTCGAATAATTATATTTTCAATGTATATATATAATGTAATCTTATGAGTTTACTTCGTCAGATATAATTATATGTAATTTTTTTATTGAATAAATTCGTGGCAATTAGAGATAATAAATGGGCTTCAAAATCATTTGGAGGCCGAACGAACGAGTTAGTTGAACGGCCAGGTGAACAACACTTCATACATCTTATATTCGTAGAATGACCTTTCATTGGTTCAAACTAGATCAACAAAATATCCAACCCAATGGCTTTCTCGGGCTGGGCCCTATTTTGCAAACGGGTGGAGACTTGGTTCAAACTAGTATCATTAACATGACTTGAGAGAGAGACAAATAGAGAATTATTAACATGAAGGAACCGAAGAAAACCTGGGCCTAGCCCCTTTATTCTACTAAAAAAAAAAGAAAGGACACCATTAATTTATTTCTTATCATTTCATATTAGTGTAATGTGATAGGATATTATACCTATAGTTTTTTATGCATATTCTATTTATTCCTTTAACATAATATCATATCCCTATTATTATATCATGGATCCAAAAAAATGTGTCCGCCCCGCTTTTAAGATGAGTTGAAAAACTCAGCCCGCCCCACCCTGTTTGACGGGTTGGGCGGGTTGGCCCGCTGAGCCAAGCCCGTTTTGCCAGCTCTAATAGTGTTTGAGAGAATTACCAAAAAAATAAAATAAATATGGGCATGAAATCCTCTCTCTAAATTAAATTGAAAATGATTGTTGAGATTTTTATACCATTATAAAAGTAATCTCATATGAAAAAATGGGATAGGATACTCATTTTCAACACCAATCTGAAAATAGTTGTTGTGATTTTTATACTATTATAAAAGTAATCTCATATGAAAAAATGGGATAGGATACTCATTTTCAACACCAATCATAAGAGGAAAAGATAAAAAAAATAAATGTTAATTGATGATTGAGTAAATAGGTAAAATAGATATAATCCCTATCTTATTTCATAAAAAATAAATTAAAAGTTATTATTTATCAGTCGAGTACTTACTTCTGGGTCACTGTCACTGATATGCATGATATTCAAAACCGTTAAATTCTCTCTTCTTAGCAGTGTAGATGAGAGTTGAAAGGGAACCTGATTACGAAACCCTCCGTTCAATTCAATACGCGAAATTAAGAATTGGGAGCAGGAAAGCATGGCTTGTTCTTTCTTTTCGGATGTAAACTCAGTGAACTCTGCCTCACTCGAACACATTCCATTGACACAACGCCGAAAATTCTTTCATTCCCACTCCCCAACTCTCAAAAACCACCGTCCGAAACCCTTCGCGTCAGCTTCAATTTCATTTTTCTTGCCTCTTTTTTTGTATACACCATTTTTTTGCGCTAAAGTTTCTAACTTTCTATCCACTGTATGCAGGGCCCCCCTTGATGCTGTTGTGAAAAAAGAATACGGGGATTGCGATTTACAGGTAAATTATTATTTTTATTTCTTTTTCTTTTAATATCATTTCGCTAATATGATCAAGAAATTATTTAAGGTCTATATGAAAGACTTACTTTGGTCTAAGGATCGGAGATATCATTGTCTTTATATTTTTGGGGAAATTTAGGTTTGCCGACCAAGTTTTGAGTTATTTTTCTTATTCAATTACAGAGGTTTTTGCAAAGGCAAGAACTTTATTCTTTTTTTTGCAAATTTGCTATGCGAGCACAAGGCAATGGTAAGATTGTTCCTTTTGTGACGGGAAGACTCAAGCATGACTATGCCCTATTTTGCAACAGGTATCATGTCCTACAATTCAAACTGATGCTTGTAGAGCGGAGAAAAGAAGTGTTAACATCAACATTTTACCCCAACATCAAACACTTTGTGATGTTACTGACACTTTAAAGGTTGAAGATTCTGAGGTTCTTTCGAGATCTGTTGATAATTGTGAAAAAACATCTCTTCAATCAGTTTTTCCTGCCCCAAAGGTGAAAAAGGAGATTTCTGAAAGCATTGCTGATGATCTAGATCATATTGTTTTGAAAGAACGTCAAAGGATGCTGCTAGCTAGGTACTTTATGTTAATTGTTGATATTTTTCTCTTGGGAGGAGTTATAAGCATACTTTTTGTCTATTTACCCTCCTTAATTTTGTTTTTCAAATTGTTAAAACGACAACAAAGAAGCAATAGAATATTAGATAAATATTGAATATAACATATCAAATGAACTTTTTGATATCTCTATGGCTTGCTATGAAAGTCTTTAAGGCCATGTCCTGATCCATTATTTCAGTATCTTTTCTCTTCTTGTGCATTCTTATAAAGACCAAAGCCAGCAATGTTGCCCATTGGATAACCTTTTGTCTTCAGCAAGATGTTGGGTAAAGAACCATAAAGCCAAGGCTGAACTTTACATTAAAACTTGCATGCAAGTTGCAAGTCTCACCTAAGAGCTATTGAAATTGTTTGTTTGTGGTGGGTGGTAAAACCAAAAAACATACCATGTACGAAGAGTGGAAGGGACTTGTAATGAGCATGCTAGAGAGCGTGAGTGAGTGGAAAGAACTTGAATTATATTTCTAAATTATCTTAGTTTTTTTACATTCTATATTCTGTTTTTTGATCTGTGGATGCAAAAACTTTGAATGGCAGTGCTCTTCATATTGTTGATTTGCATTTGAAAAATTTATGGCCTAGTGAGAGTGTGAATAGGAGAAAAGCAGTGCTAATAGCCGAACCCTTCTTTCTCCTTTTAGTTTCTTGCATTTTGATTTCAGTTCCTTTTAACACAAAATTTTCCATTTTGGTTGAAACATTTTATAACTAGAACAATCAAGTTTATTACAATTGAAATATGGAATACCATATTTTCACCATTGCAAGGAACCAAAAGAGAAAAATATTTTGTTGAAAGGAAGCTAGATGGATTTTGGTTCTTTAAAAATGGTTTAATAATATATTTATTATTGCAGGAAGCTTCCAGGATTTTCAAATCAAGCTTTTGAGGTAAATGAAGAGATTTATTCAGCTGATGGGAAAATGACAGTAGCCAGAGATCAGTGTCATGACCTTACAAAAGGAAGTAATACTTCACTATTTGAGTTACCACTTGGGGCCACTTCTGGATCATCTTTGTCAACTGATTATGCCTCACCTAAATCAACAAAATCAGTAATTTCAGCAGGTCTTCAAGAACATGATCATATATTCAAATCCAGAGGAATGATCACGCAATTCGATTCACGCAAGGATCAAGGTGTTATGCCTATAAACAATGATGGCCCAAGTACTTCAACTTGTCCAATCTCTTTCAAAATCAAGGATGAACCTTGGGATAACATTGAAATTCACAATGTTAACAGGGATGCTATGGGTAGCATTTCCGTTGAACTCCCCAATGTAAAAAGTGAATGGGAAGTCCATAGTGAATATCAAGATGATCAAGTGGAACATATGAGCTTAATTGATCGACTAAATTTTCTAATGTCTGGAGAGGATTCTAGTTTAAATATTTCTACAAGTTCCTCATTTTTGAAAAAGACTAAGCCTTCTTCCTTTGTATCGAGCTCTATTTTCTCAGAATCTGCAGAACCTTTAAGCATCAAGTGTCCACGTAAAAGAAAAAAAACAGCCACGTACTATCTAATTCTGTTATGTGTTAAGTAATGTGGTCATTACTTTTCTAGTTCTGTTATAATGATTATCCCAAATGTTAAATTGTTTGCAGTGATTCAGTTCAAACAGCACTTGAGGAGGATGCTCCTGGGCTTCTGAAGGTACTATACTTAGTTTCTGTACAGTCACTGCGACATTGGAATTTGTATCAAGCTTCATGGAAATGCTATATGGCAGGTATTACTCGACAAAGGTGTAGTAGTAGATGAAATTAAGCTTTATGGAGAGGCAGATGATGATGAAGCTCTGGATGAATCATTTTGTGAAGATAGCTTTTCAGAGCTTGAGGCTGTGATAGCAAAGGTGCAGAACATACCATAGTTATAGTGTCTTCCTCAATTGTTTTCAGAACCAAAGTAACTCAAGACATTATTTAGTTGTGATGTCTTCCTTAATTTTTTGCTTTCTCATTTCATTTCATAATTACATATTAATAAATTCTTTTGTAAGTGGGAATTATGACTAAGATTACACAAGTAGACAAAAATTGACAATTATGCTCTTTAGAAAAAATAAAATTTGATCGCATAAGATATTTTCGGTTGAAATCATTCTTCCAAAAAAATGGAACTTTGTGTAATTTTTTATGGCATCCTAAATTTATTTCCTTTTCTAGAAAAAAGGAGTCATTTTCCTTCTCTAGAAAAAAGGAGTCATTTTCCTTCTCTAGAATTGTTTTCTCATACTAATCCCTGCATCAAGTAGTGGCAGTGGAATTCCCCCCCGTTAATTGTTCTAGAATTTTTTTCCAACTCTAATAACTGAATCAAACAGTAGAAAACATGGAAATTATTTTCCAACTAATCTGTGATTACGATGGAACCATTTTTAGGGATGGATCTATTGAGAAGGCTAATCATATGAGAGAAATTAGAGATTTAATCTTGACTGTTCAGTTTCCGACTTTCCGTGAATGATTGAATGGCCAGGATTCACTCCTTTCATTTCTCATATATGATTAGCTTTCTTGCTACATGCTTCCCCTGGTTGAACATATCAGCTTAAACTTTTACAATATGTCTGCAAGATTGAGGTGAGAAAAAATAGGTTGGTTTGGCAGAAAAGGAAGGAAATGGAAATATGACCATTATTTCTTGCTGACTTATTAAGGGAAAATGATGGAAGAAGGTTCATCCTCTCTTTTCTTGTGCTCACCGAAAGAAAAGGAATGAAAATAAATTAGGTTTTTAGATAATCCAAAGTCTCAAACACTAGCTTTCTAGAAGGCCCCAAAGAAACAAGTCATTTGCACACTGGCATTTTTTCAAGTACCTGGATTTTATGATGATATGATCAGGTCTAGTTTACCGGTTACAGAAATAAAAAGGGTCTTATATTTGGTTAATACTAGTTTTAAAACTAATTATTGATAAATATTTGATTAAGCAGGGCCTTTAGTTTTTATAATATTACATTGAAATATTTTTCTTATGAGTCATTTGGTGGTTATGCTCAATTGCTTTATATTCATTTATATTTTCCCCTATCTGGAGACAGATTTTCTCTAAGAGCCACTCTTTCTTAAAATTCCCCATTATTCGTGCTGGAAAGGCTTCGAGAGCGAGTTATTGCTTAGCTTGTCTAATCTCACTTGTGGAGCAGGTAATTGGTTCTATACTATTGTTTTGATACTACAGTCATTCCTGTTTTACTTATGTTTAGTTTTTCTGCTACAGACACGATATTTGAAGTTTCGAAAATGGCCTGTTGAGTGGGGTTGGTGCCGAGACCTCCAATCCTTTATTTTTGTATTTGAGAGACATAACAGGTGCTCAATTCATGAAAGTTCATCTTTTTCAGTCCATGTTTTCTTCTCATCATATTCCATGATATTGGCATTAAATTGAACTCCAATGCAGGATAGTGCTGGAACGCCCCGAATATGGTTATGCAACCTACTTCTTTGAGCTGGTAGAATCCTTACCTGTTGAATGGCAGATCAAGCGGTTGGTGATTGCTATGAAACTAACTACCTGTAGCAGGATTTCTCTTATTGAGAACAAAGAATTATTGGTAATGACTTCATGCATCTTTGAGATGCTGTTAGATGACTTCTAACTGGATTTAGTGTCTTGCTACCCATTAGTATAACGTGGCCTCTTAAGCTTCTACTTTTAAGACTTCACTATGATGCTAAGTTATGTTAGATTTCCCTCCCATTAGTTATACTAAGTTACTAACGCAACCTGGATGCCGTGTGAATGTGGTGTTGAGTATTAATCTTCTCTCGGGTACCATAAAGAAGGGAAAAATTGAATATTGGAATGACAGGACATACATATTGTGCTAATTTAATACTCATTTTAGCTTCTCTTGGTTAGCAGGATACTTTATGCTTTTCATAATATTATTTTCTGAGCATTTGTTCTGGAGGGTAAAGGATGTAGGTTGGTTTTAAATTTGAAAAAATCAATTGGTAGAAAAATACTGTGAAAGAGATTATAACTAACTATTTTTTTGGTATAATATTTGTATCTAGAAAGAAATTTCAGCCAACCTAAAAGTGTTAGTACTGATTGACTGTGTAACTGTGGTATTATGACAGATATCTGAGATGTCGCTATGGGATTACTTTAAAATGCTTGTTAGAAATTGGTTGATGTGAAGTGGAATCCTAAAACTTGAATAATTTTTGTCCTTTGATGGATTAGTTTTTGAATCTTTCTTGTCAGGATGGCTTATTTCTATTTAATAATGCCTATTGCTGATTGTTAATGCTTTCCCTTTTATTTTGGTTTTGTTTTGCTGCCGAGTTAACTGACTCGGGCATTTTTTAGGATTTTAACCTTTTTACTAACCATGAGGCATTTGTTAGGTTTGAACTTCCATTATCTTCTCTCTTCTAAAGTATTTGCTTAGTTTTAGTTTTTACGTATTGACGAAGTGATTAGAGTGAAATGTAGCAGGTTAGATATTCTATTTTGCTTTTTGTTTTATACTGCTGAACATCACTGAAATGTGGTGGCCGAAAGTGTTTTATATAGATATGATTGTTGAAATGAGTATGTTCAGCTTAAGAGCCTGGGTTCTATGGAGGATCCTCGGCCTTTCAATTTCTAAAAGTAATATCCAACTCCAGTCGATAGAAAAGGGATGGACCATGAATCTAACTTAAAAAATGGTTCAGTTACTGCTTCGCTGTTTTTTGAATTGAACAACACTATTTGCTATTATGCTTGCCTTTCCTTTTATTTATTTATTAACCAGTCCTTTCTTAGCTAAAACAGTAATACTTTCTTTTTTCCCCTTTATCTGTCAGACTATTTTTATATGTTGATTCTTAGAACCAAGGCATAAGTTACCTCTTATTACTGCTTTGTGTCCCACCCCAAATAGAAATTTTGCTCTGCTCAATTCATGGTGTCTGTGGTATAGGTTGGAGAAGATTTGACTGAAGGTGAGGCAAAGGTGTTAATGGAATATGGTTGGACACCAAATAGTGGCCTGGGAACCATGCTTAACTACTGTGACAGAGTTATGCATGATAGAAAAAATGAGGACAGTTCATATTGGCGATCTAAAATAGGGAAGTTGCTGATGGATGGTTATAACGGTGGAACCATAGTGACACCCAACATCCCAAAAAAAGTTGTAGAATACAGGTGTGCTCAATTCCCTAACAAAAGCTCTAGTAGCCCAATGTCTGATTAGAGGTTAGCAGCTTGTGCAGAAAGTGTTTTTCTTATGTATGCATGTTGTATTTATATGGTTGGTTACCTTTGTCATGAACCAGAACATATCCTTTTAAAGGAATACATGCTTTACTATTATTATTTAGATATATATCATGGGATGAAACAGAATAAAATAATTATATTATTATTTAGATATTTTATAATAAAACAAAAATAAAGTTTTTATTTCATTGTTTAAGAAGTGAATATAATTATAAGAGTTTCATATCATTCTTATTTCTAGCATGTTAAGTTTTTAATTATGTTTAACTGAAAATAATTTTATTTTCACATAACATGTACTGTTAGAGCATATCTTTGGTATTGGTATTACAGGAGTAGGTATTCCTTTATCAAAAAATAGGAAAAAAAATAAGATTTAAATGGCAATAACTATAAAGGATGAGTAAAGTTAATTATATTACTTCTTTTCAAATTTAATAAAAGATGTACCCAATCTTCATTACAATGAATGAAATTTGGATAATTGGATTTTAATTTTATGAGCAATAGAGCATCGATCTCGAATTTGATAGTTTCATGAAAATGGAGCTTTCTGGCTTCAAAGTATATTACGAAACCATGTTGTATTGTAGCAATGGCAAAGTAGATTAACTTCCGTTTGAGCTTATAAAAAAATAAAAGAAAAAAAAGATTAACTTCCGTTTGCCAATATATAGCAATGACCAAGTTTCCAAAAAAACAAAACAAAACAAAATGATCTCACTTTTTATGATTTTTTTATCTAAAAAATTAAGTATATGTTTAATATTTTTCATTTATTTCACATATGAATATCGATTGAACCAAAATTACATTTGCGAATGTAATTTCACATAAATTTTGGCTTACTCTCTTCGCAAATGTAAAAAAAATTTGGCTTACATTTGCAAAGAGAGTAAGTCAAACTCAAAACAGGTAAGCCATGACGTGGGGATGCCGACAAGCAAAGAGGTAGCAAGTTTAGCGTCTCTGTCTAGAACAAGTAATTTAATAGTTTTATAAAAAAAAAATTGTTTTTTTTTTTTTTTTTTTTTATCTCGTATTCCAAATTAAAATATAGAAAAATGAGAGGATTAAATGAAATTGATTGGATAGACTTTATATTACATTTCATTCCATCTTATTTTAAGAAATTCAAATATTCATTCCATTTTCTTATATTTAATTCCTTTTCACCAATCCAAACATAATTTTAAGATTTTGGAAACTATTTTCATTAATTCTTTAGAAAACAATCCTAGAATATATTTAATAAGAATCTTGAGAACCTCACTTGCACTTCAATTCAGGGCTTTACTATGCATATTGCATATGTTCAAGTAGAGCTACCTTATTATAAGGGATGATTCAAATAATAAGCAAGTGTAAACTAAATATTTTATGGACCTTTATAGTATTAAGAGTTTGAAGCGAAAAAATAAAATTAGCCTCAATATCCAAACAAAAAATATGTCGTGATATTTTATTTTTATTTTTTTAAAAAAGGGTTAAGGTTAATTCATAAGGACTAACGAACACAAGAATCCTACCCAATGGGTGCAGCTCAGTTGGTAACTTGGCGCTGAGTTAGTGGGGTTGGACATGTGTTCGATTCCTGCTGAATGCATTCTTGGGGAGGGGGCTGAACCTTTAGCCATCACTGATCCCCGCACTCCGGATTAGTCCCATAGCCGGCTCAAAGAGTCGAAGCTCGTGGGGATACCAGAGAGAGCCAACTCGCCTCAAAGAGGTAATTAGGATTGGGTAACTCCAAAAAAAAAAGAACACAAGAACCCTGTAATTTTTGTTTGTTGAAGTGGGGTATTCCAATTTCCAACTCTCCCTACACTATAAGTTTTGACCTAAAATCCAACAAAAACCTAGTCAGATGACGTTATCTATGGGAACTTTGATCAAATTCATACACCGTATGAACCTGAGAGTGTAAGGGGTTTGCTAATTCTAATAGTTGTTGAAATTATTGGTTTTTCTAATAATAGTGCTTGACTTATTGCATTCAATAAATACCATTACTACTACGCCAAAGGAATTTGCTATAAAGTATAATATGTAGAAGTAAAACGCATTTAAACTAACTTGATTGAACAAAATCTTTAGTCACTATTATGGCAACAAAATACGTTTGGTAGAAGGATTTTTTTTTTAGATTTATGGGAAAGTGATATTGGAAATTCTATTTTTCCCATATTTGATACAAGATTGTGAATTTTTTTTGGATAATCTGATTTTTCTATTATTTTGATTTGTGAGCACTTTTTAAGGCAAATGTCATTCAAAAATACTACTAGGAGGTGGTATTTTTCGATTCCCCAGAGGAGGAGAAAATGTTTTGGCATCCGCGCCACTATTGCGGTATGGCACCACTAGCCCCAAGTCTTCAAGCAATATTTTTGTCCCACGCCAATAGTGTAGTGATGACGCCACTAGCGTCAGCAATGCAGTTTTTAAAATCACTTTATATTTTCAGTAATATTTGACAATCAAAGAAAACTTGAGTCAACATTTCTGGTAATATTTTGGTCTACCAAACAGTTTTTTGGTCACACTCTCAAGAAATTTACTTTCTCATCATATTTCTAATAATCGTGATTCTCACATGTATAAAAAAAATTTATCCTCTACCAAATGTCTTCCTAATATCCGGAAAGACACTGCTTTTGCCAACTCATTCAAAATGTTAAAATATATGTTTGAAAATTTATTGAAAGCAAACTTAAATAGCACGTAATCGCGTATCATTGATCATATCAAAGACTAAAATGCAAAGCCAAATTGAAATGTCTGGGCCTAAGTGATTATGTGTCTTAGTGCTACAACACATGAATATTTTTCTTTCTTTCTTTCTTTGTTTGTTTTTTTTTTTTTCATTTTATGAAATTGGGGAAGGTCAATAATGTGGTACCCTCCAAAACATAATGCCTGGCTCTCATATTATAATGCTTCCCATGCCCAAAAATGAAACACCTTGGCAAATTTCAGAACAATGTAGAAGCCATAGTGTGGCTGCATAAGATAAGGTTTGTATGAAAATTAAAAATAGATGGCTGACACTTCCAAGAGAGAACCTTTAGAATGTTCATCATTATAATCACTATCATAATCATCAGATAAAGTGGTGGAAATAAATAAATATATTATATACAAATAAAAATGTGTGAAAGTTGGCCCTGGAAAATAACAATACTCTCTATTTTTTCCTTCTCGTTGGTTTCAAATTAGTATTGCCCTCTAAATTGTTGATCTGTTTCTTTTAGTATATGGGTGTGGACCAAGGAATTCCAGTGAAATGCACTTTATGCAAATACAAAGGAGGAATTCCATATCCTTTTAAAGTATGATTCATAAACTTTCCTTATCTTTCCAATTAACAAAATAAAGTTATAGTTTTTCCTTTTTAGACAAAAAAAAAAGGAACGTACCAGAATGTCAATCCATTCCAAATTATAGTGCAAGTATTATTGCGTCAAGCTAGCGTGTTGCTGAAGTCATTCTAATCAATAGCTATTCAAACGAGTATATTTGTGAAAATGATCAAAACATTAGGATTCAGGAATTCACATGCAACGTGTCAAATTAACATCAATCAAATCTAAACAGAGACAGAGAAAAAAAAAACATAATATGCATGAAAGTGAAATCAGAAAAGAAATATACCAAACTAGTATTTATTAGTGAATTTGTATATTCTTTTTTTTTTTTTTTGAGTAAAGCACCATTTCATGATTTAAGATTTTATATAAAAGATATTTCCAAAAAAAAAAGATTTTATATAAAAGACCAATTAAAGGAATGAAATTTCATTAATACTAATTTAAGGATTTAACTTTATCAAAAGAAGTTTTTTTGTTCATAAAAAATGTTAAAATGACAAAAATATTTAAATTGATATATCAATTTAATTTAGAACATAAAAATACATATGGTATATTTTAAAAACATCATAAATGCATATCCGCTCTCTGTTTCCCCCTATTAAACTTAATTCCTCATTTGGTAAATTTTATAAATTGAAGCCGTTAATTGATTATAAAAAAATGAAGTTCTTGTTAATTTTTTTTTATTTTTTATTTCAAAAAACACAAATAACATTATGTTATAAAAAAAATTGCAATTTCTTTTCTAATTCTACATAGTCAATAATGAATGATTTTATAAATATTTTATATCTTTCTTTTTATAATATAATATTATCAATCTTTTTGGAAAGGATTAAGAAATGATTTATTTTAAAATTCAGAAATGCACAAATCATAATGAAAATTTATAATAAATAATATTTATAGAAACAAACTAATAAAAAACTTATAAACAAAAATTCAAAACTTTTATCCTAATATAATTTGGGTTTGCCAATTAAATCATCAATAATATCATCAATGTTTAGAAGAAATGAAAGAATATAATGCCAGCATATAAATCTTATTTCAACGCCTAAAAGCAGCAAATATGACTTGTGAAGATGCACTCATTGGAACATTGATTCATTTTGAATCATGATGAAAAAGCATGCAGTTATAGAAATAAAATAACAGTGTCAAGGTCGGTTTCCTCAACAAACACTTTGGAAGCATTGGGAGATGCACATATGGGGCCCAAAATCCCACTAAATCCACCAATGGACTTCATATCTTTTTATTCATTCTGGGACGGCAAACGGCACCACCCCATCCTATTATTCATTTGGGTTCTGCACTTTTTGTGCACAGTGCACCCATCTCACACCCCACAACATAATAAAAAAATAACCTAAGAAAAAAAGTGACCCACTAAATTACCCTAATATTGTGGAACATCGATGATGATCATCTTCATATTCTTATCATCTATCACCAAGGAATTTAAACGAAAAAACATTTGCTACCAACTTCACTTCTTCTGAACCCCTTTTTCTTAAAAAAGCATATCCTCTTTGTCCAACCCATCAATGGTTTTTAGTCCCGTACCTCTTTCTCTTAAAAAACATCTGCTTATGTTTCTGTGGATGATATGAAACCCATGAACCGTCCCTTTCACATGTCCATTATTTTATATGTAGCACTTTATGCCCCCCACGTTAATTGCTATCTCTGCATTTGTTGATTTTTTTTTTCAAAGAATAATATAAATCGTT